AAAGAACCTGGAAGAAGCGAACAAATTTGATGATGATGACATATGATGATAGAATTCGGGTAAACGACTAAGTGTAAATTAACGGAGTCGAGTACACCCGTATTCGGGTAGTTTTCGTTTTGGTTACCCGACACCTTCTTCCAGCCCGTATTCCAGTGTAAATATTGCTTCGGATGCCAGAATTTGAGTAATGTCTTTCGTGCACTTGAATACGGGCTCGGGCTCACGACCAAATGTAATTGAGCCATCAAAACACGAACATTTTAGATAACTATAAATATATTTGTTTAATATAAAATACCACCACCAAAGACACATATTACGCAATTAACTCAAGAAAGTTGTGTAATTGGAGACGGTTTCCATTCCATCAAGTCTTGTAACTTAACACGAGCATTACAATGGGTTCTTGCTGTGAGATTAATACTGTTGTTGTACCACGTCGTTTTGTGAATACAATTAGGTACTTCTTATCTTTTTAGGGTTCCGTACCCATAATCAAGAAAAATGGAACTCTTATAGGACCGCTCGGTAGTCTGTCACAGTCTCACAGTCGATTTTCACAGAATGTACTCGACCGATCAAGTTGAAATTTGGTAAATACTTGTATGTCTGTGACCGAAATACGGACGGAGATTCATTGTTTCTGTGAAATTTAATAGAAATTCGTGTTAATTATATGTTATTGCTTAATAATTTGGAAAAAAAATCTTTTTTTTTTTTGTATGCTACAGTTCATTATATTACATAAAAATTATTCAATAATATTATTAGAACATTGAGATTATTGATATAAAAATGTTTTAGTCTCTTTTTGTCATAAATCACACAGCGTCTTTTGAATTAGAAATCGTAATTTTGGATTAAGTACTGAATCATGCCGTAATTTAACCATTTGCAACATGTTGTTTCTAGTTGGTGATAAGGCTCATTGTAAAAGTAAAATCTGTTTAATAATAAACAAATTACTAGTAATAGTGTTGAAAATAAAATTAATTATTTACCATACTAAAGTACATTTAATGTAAAAATAACACCATTTGGAGTCGGTGCACTGTTATTCCAACTTGCCAACACCCATCAATTCATCCGAATTGCTATTTACGAGATACTTAAATGCACCTAATTTAGATTTATTATTATGCTTTCTTAACATTCGTGGTTTTGTATTTGTCACTTGACGTATCTGTATATTCGACACTGAGTTTCTTGCCGGTTCTTCTCAGTAAAAGGAAGGATAGTTTCCAGACATTTATGAGTGCTTATAACAGCCTTAACTATTTTTGAAGATGAATGATGAAGTATTTAAGAATTTAAAGTCGGTTTTATCCTTGTTAAAATTTTGGTATTTATTACAATTACTTATCTCCAAATGTCAATTCCATTGACATCCACTTTTGTGTTTGTATATTTAAATCTAGCACGCTGTCAGAGATTTATAGCCTGTGCACAGGGTCCATTTTTCACCACAGGAACATTACCCTACGCTTCTGGAGGCCTACTCTATTTCAACGAAAAACGAAATTTCGATCGAAATTTCGCACGTTCCCTACTCTGTTTCCTTTCCATTTCGAAAATTCGTTCGTCCGAAATATTTTGACAATTAAATCCTATACTCTAATTCACAAAACTTTTGAAGGAAAAGTTGAATTTGACAGATAATTGTTCGAAATTTTAACCTCAAATCGACGAAATGAAAAGTGTTACCTTTTCATTTTCGTTTTGAGATTTTTGTTTTAATTAAGCCTAAAATACTTGCAAGAGTATTTTTAATAATAGCTGCTTAGCTCGAGTAACATTTTTAGCATGTAAAATTAACAAATAAACCATTTTTTTTATTATTTTTTGTAATTTCGATACTTCAAAGTATTAAACGACAAATTGAGGTTGACATACAGTAGATTGTATCGACTCTACAAATTAGTCGGCTAAAACTGTCAAAGAAGGTTCTTTTAATGTCATCAAAAAATTTGCCGTAAACTACCTATATTGTTTCCAAGTAAAAAAAACGTTTTCTTAAAAGTAGAGATAAAAAGTATTCACAAACATGACTCATTCCATTCGTTCACGAAAACTGTTTATGGTTCCGAAGTTAATGTGCCTGTTCGAAAATGAAATAGAGTAGAGACTAGCGAAATTTCGTTTGAAATTCGTTCGTTACCGAAATTTCGTTTCGGAGAAAGAGAGTAGAGCTCCTGACCGAGACGGTTCAACTAGAGATTTTCTAGCTAAATTTAAAATTTATATTCGTTTCTAAAACTGTACAGGAGGCCTACTCTATTTCAACGAAAAACGAAATTTCGATCGTAATTTCGCACGTTCCTTACTCTGTTTCTATTTCATTTCGAAAATTTGTTCATCCAAAAATAGTTTGACATTTAATTTCTCTAAGCCTACTCTAATTCACAAAACCTTTGAACTAAAAGTTGAATTTGACAGATAATTGTTCGAAATTTTAACCTCAATTTGACGAAATGAAAAGTTTTGGGTTTTTTTGTTTAAATTAAACCTAAAATTACTAGTGAGTATTTTTAATTAAGACTGCTTAGCGTAAGGAACATCTTTTAGTATGAAATATTTTCAAATAAATCTAATTTTTGTTTATTATTGTATTGCCAATACTTCAAAGTATTACACGACAAATTTAGGTTGACATACATTCGATTGCATCAACTCTACAAATTAGTCGGCTTACACTTACAAAAGAGGTTGTTTTAATGTAATTAAAAATGTTGTCATAATGTAATATTGTTTTGAAGTAAAAAACGTTATCTAAAAAGTGTTGACAAAAAGAACTCACAAACATAACTCATTCCATTCGTTCACGATAATTGTCTGTGATTCCGAACTTTATGTGAGTGTTCGAAGATGAAATAGAGTAGAGTCACTGGCGAAATTTCGTTTAAAATTCGTTCGTTGCCGAAATTTCGTTTCGGAGAAAGAGAGTAGAGCTCCAGGTTAGACGTGTATATTATAGCTAAGTGTTTATTTTTATTTTTAGTGCTGTTTCGCATTGGCAAATACCGTGCTATAGATACAACAGTAGTGAACGCTGAAAATTGGGTATAAAAATCGTAAAATTCGAGGTTTGGCTGCACTGACCCTGTGGGGCCTTCAGTCGCTCAGTCTCAAACCGATACGGGTGCACATCAGAGTGCATCCGTCCTCTAAACGCACTTTGCAGTAGTATTTACTAAGGCAGCTCTGCATCATCCTCTTCGCAGGGGTTGATCGCATCAGACGAGGCTGTAAGGCCCTTGTGGCCAGAGGCATCCCCCACGGGTGTGTTTTATACATTAACCCCCTTATTAATAAACGAAGACTACGCTTGGATTAGTTACTCCATGTTTTGTCTCTGTCTATTGAATGACAAATGGCATTTGAGTGACATAAGCAAAACACGGCGTAACTAGTGTAAGCTTATTCCTCATTTATTAATAAGGGGGTAAGAGTATAACATAACCCTACAGTCGGCTTAAGGGTATCCATGAGTATTTCACAACCGCTTCTCGCCTAGGAAGATAAGGAACAAAAAAAAGTTTGGTTCTCAACGATTTCCTCCTCGAAAATTTGATATATGTAAAGGAAATTATAGCCATAGAATATTATGACGCTACAATTTTTAAATCGTTATATCTCAGGAACTTTGGCTCTTACGAAAAAAAATATTAATATTTTTGTCTAAGGTAATTTTACGATAAAACTTACTGTTTTGATGAAAATAGCGAAAAACTCATTTTTGTACCTTTGATCTCGAGTTTTTTTTCCCATGTACCGGAACGATGGAGAATTTTGACATGTTATTAATAATTACGTTTTGAACAATTATACTCACTTTCAGCTTGATGAGAATGTATGCACCTTCATTCTTATTTTTCTGCCTTATTTGACCGGGATAAAATATGTAGGTTAAGAATATGTATACCTATGCTATTAATTGACTCTATTAAAACGGGAATTAAAACGTAAGTCATAATTCTGAGAAGGTGTCTAATTTTCGCCACTGGGTTTTGACGATATACATAAACACTCAGTAACAATCTGAGCTAAACACGTAAACTTCCGGTTGGCGCTCCCTTCCTGTAGGGCGATTCGGTAAAATAAATTCACATTTCCGAATTTGATGGATCCAATTTTAGACATAACTTAAATAAACATTACGTCATTACACGGTAAAATATCACAATGACTGCTGAAGCAGCCAGCAGTAGATATTTGACATTTGCCAAAATTCGAACGAACTAAACCAAAATGACATTGCAGCATGACGACGTCCTCATGTGCTGATTCAGCGGAAGATTTTTAGTCTCTGGAGGATTAGAATGGGGGATGGAAGGGGCGACTTTTGTATTTTTCGCAAATTATTAAAAACTTACACTAGATGTGTTGTCTTTTTAGAAATTTACGTATAACGATGTGGTGTGATATGGTAATATTATAAGGTACCACAGCTTGGCTAATCACAACCTATGATCGAACCATACACAAATCCTAGCAAATAGTAGTAATGGCTTATAATCTTAACTACCCTTATATAGGACAATAATAAGTAAAGATACAGATTTAACAGAAAAGGTTAGTTAAATATAGGATTTTCCTAAGACTTGAGCACACAAGTCTTTATAAAAACATATAAATTAAATCAATTATCGCGACGGTGTTTTTCTTACTACAAATTCGAGCAAAAATATCTGTGTACATGCTTACAAAAACCGCCCCTTAAAAGCCCCGATGGAATTAGATTGATATCCACGCCGTAAGAAACAATAAACTCTTGTTTTTTGTACAACACGCACCCAAACATTGCGCTGGTTTTGTACGGTAATGTTTCCTTTCGGGGGGAGAGCACACAAGCCTATTTTCCTGTTTTCTGAACCGAAGACTTCGCACAATAGAAAAAAAAGTTCCCATTAAAGTGTGAACAACATCACGTTCGGTTTTTTTGGAAAGCTCGGTGTCCGTCGTTGAATAATGCCTTAAAGCCAGGGGCAGTGGGTGCCGGTGTCTAGCGCTTGAAGGGTGCGCGGGACGGGACGCCCCATCGTCGCGTCAGCGCGCCACTCGGCAGCACAGTGGGGCCAGTCTGCACCGCGAGCGCTCGCGCCCGCGTAATCGCCCACAACCGTAACTCGCGACGCGCTGATATGTGTGCGCTCAAACTTTACGCGAATCACTAAATAAACACCAAGTGCAAAATGAAAGAAAAATGCCGCCCGCCGTACTTCCGACCGCTATGGAGGTTAGTAGATTACTTAATTGTCACGTGTAAATATTTTTCAGAAAGTGCGGATCGCGTTTTTGGTGGCTGTTTGCGAATGTTTGTTTACGACACTGCGAATGTATTTTTACAATGCTGTGCGACCCTAATACCCATTAAATGTCTCATATGTGTCAACTAAATGCAGTACTCGCCGATACTAAATGGGTTATAAAGTATTTTCTTTTCGCTACGACTTATCATAAAACTTTGGAAAGAATAAAACTTAAACAGAGGAGTGTGAAACGATGACTTTATTAGGAGTGAAAATAAATTAATTGGCACAATATATAGCGGGAATCGTGAGTGTTATTGGTGGCATTATTTCTTAGTTATTTTCGTGCCATATTCATACTGTTCGGGAAAAGCCTTTTTTCGGAGACACGAGCCGTTGGGCTAGACCGATACAGGAAGACAATTTGATATGAGCAAACGCATTGACCTATTTTATGTTATTGTTGCGAAAAGGTGCTAATGAGAAATGAGAGCAAAAATCCCTCTTGGCAAATAAATTTTTCCTTGGCTGACGAAACTAATAATTTTTGATTGGAACTGATAAAAATATTTATTAGTAGTCATTAAGTTTCATAGATAGAGAAATTAAAACAATCAATATTCATGCTAGGTTAGCACATTATAAACACGATTTACGTAATTACTTAGGTAGGCACTGTTATTTAATTTTTGGTGGGCCTAGGTCATTTACTTTATCACTACCTAGTCTGTGATAAAGTCTGTAATAAAATTAAAATATCTCCAAACTGTTGTAAGCAAAAAACAATCACTTTTGATAGAACATTAATGTATTTCATATTCAATTCGAATGAACTCATAACAAAATTGATCTGATTACCACTTCACAGATAGCCTCACTTAGTGCTAAGTGCCAAATTATTCGCTCATAGTAGTATATAATAGTGAACAGACGCATAACACTATCGCAGTTGGGCAGACTGCAAGCGGCGTACGTTGGTAGGTGTTTTCAATAGTTCGTAGTGTTACGTTTCGGGATGGGGTTCGAAATTATATGCCAGTTCACGCTTGACAATTCTTTATTCACCACACAGTTCACACAATGTTAATTACAAAACACTCACTAAACACTGTATTTCACTATACAAGTCTCTAAACAATCTAACTTGAACACTTTTGTGCACTTTGATCGCCTTTGGATTCGCTCCGAAATCGCTGTTGAAACTCAACTGTCTCTGCACGGCGCCAATCGCGCTTATATACGCCGATCGACGCATTCTAGAAAGTACCTGTTAAATTGAGAATTACCTAGCACCCGCGAGTACGAAAAACCTACCTATACCGACAGGTACTATGCAGGTAACACGCATAACTTGTAAACAAGTGCAGATGTCGTTGCACTTTCACCCTTATGCCGCACTGCATAAGGCTCATTTTAAAATGAGCCGCATTACTCGACCTCTATCGCGACCCGCGGTGATCTGGCAAATACGATCTCTGGCACTTTCTTGGTTACGTTTCGAGAGCGTTTGTGACACTGCCCCCCTCTTAGACATGCTCGTCCCGAGCATCATTGCTGCCGTGATCCAACTAGGGTGACTCCCGGTATCTTCTACCACGACACATCGATTTGATGACGCCCCTCCCGGAAACTTGACTTCTACCAATGTCTCTGACCTCGCTGGTAGGGTAACCGTTCTGGTGTTGTAGACTACTGGCGGAGACTTTCCTTCTAGAAATATTTCTTGATCCGGAAAATTCAATACTCCTCTAGCGATATCCACCACACACTGCTGTGATCGTAAGAAGTCCAGTCCGAGTATACAGTCGTCCGTTATGTTAGCAACCAAGACGCTTTGTCTGTAGATCTTGTCTCCTAGTTTCAATGTGATGTCTGTCACTCCCAGGACTGTCACTGGCTGGCCTGTAGCTGTTTGCAATTGACACGCCGATTTTGTACCTTCCCACATAATTGTACGCTTGAGAAGTTCCGGCCGTACGATAGTTTTCAATGCCCCAGTGTCAATTGTAAGTTGTGCTGGCTTGCCGTTTATTTCTCCTGCGGTTACGAGACTATTTCCATCACATGCCTGTGACACTCGTAGTGTGGGAGCTAAACGACGTCCAGCTCGTGCCAGCTCTGCAACCGAGTCCACTCTACAATCAACCTGAGTAGCGGTTGACATTGTCCCGTTTCTCCGCTGGACCGGACAGCTAATCCTGATGTGTCCGCGTTCTCCACATCCATAGCACATTGGTCCACCTCGAGGCTTGTCTGTTGCCACAACTTCTCGCACTCTGTGCGTCCTGTACCGTCTCTACTTCCAGCGCGTGTGCTAACGCAGTTTCCAATGTCGCATGATGTCACTCTTACTTCGTGACTAAACATCACAGTTAATTAAAATTTTATCAAAATATAGTCCGGTTAACCACTACGCTGTAGAGTTAAAAAATACGTTTTATCGAAAACACAATGTTACACTTACAGAATTTATGTTGCGCGCGGTGAAAAAAAATGCATTATGTAACAATAAAGTGGTCGGGTGCATTACAAAATAAGTAACGCGACACAGTGTTGTTGGCACCCACAATGTTTCGCATTACAGCCGCGTCCTAGTCGGCGGTAGTCAGTACTCGTACCGTACCTACACATAACGTTCTTAACTACCATCTATCCTACGCTTATGTACCCAACAATGTTGTCGTAAGTAACGAACAACAAAGGGAAGTAACACATTTTACATTCTTATCTCTGGGATGCGATGGTACAGTCGGCAGTGTGTTAATTTCTTGCACAGTCGATAGCGACTTTGTGTTTTTATTATCTATACTATACTATAATATTATAAAGAGGAAAGATTTGATTGTTTATATTGAATAGGCTCCGAAACTTCCGGACCGATTTGAAAAAATCTTACACATATAGAATCCTTCATTATCCCTGATGAACATAGGCTATAGAGTATTTTCAAAAAAGTTAGGATTCCGTATGAAAAATCCTACATTTTACCTACCTACCCTGGGTGGGTGTAAAAAAAATACTAAAAAATAACCTAATATCGTTTACGCTGCGTTTTGCCAATAGAGCAAAGTGATGTACTCAAGTTTTATAGAGGACATAAATTGTATCAACAAAAAATCCGCGATATCATATGACTAACTATTACAGTTATCTAAAGAAATGTTTTAATAGAAAAAAAATCCACGCGGACCGGGCAGCAGACAGGACCTGGTTCTTTCTATTAAAACTTTTCTTTAGATTTAAACATCTAGCAGTTAAATGCTTAAAAAATAAAATAAAAATAACTATTACAGTTATTTCGCAACTAAAGGTCCCTGCGGTTTCACCCGCGTTATTTGAGGAAGAAGGTAATAGTCAGTCAAGCTTAAAAGATGGGCTTATGCTGTGGATGACTTTTTTATAGAACTTTTAAAGGGGAATAATTTCGTCATACATGATTTCTGTGTAACTTTAATGCATTTACGGAGCGCACGCAACGGAATCTCCCAAATGGAATATTTTTACTCGTTTTTGCAACATTTTACATCGATACTCCGCTCCTACTGGTCGCAGCGTAATATTATAGTATAGCCTTAAGCTTTAATAAATGCACTATGTACCCAATTTTTTTTTAAATCGGACCATTCGCGACTTAGATTTGCGCGTTTAACCAAATAAATGGCGGTCTTAAAGTACTTACGCAATTAAATTTTCATTATTAGTTAAATAAATTTTCATGGAAGATGTAGATAGTCTAAACTACAGCTCTACACTGAAGCGAAGCGAGGGCGGGCCACTAGTTCTTGATTATTTCAAGAATTCTGTACTTACCTAGCAGAGAAGCGGCAGGGCAGATATGGGATTGTCTTGGCGGAAAACCTTCTGAGGTTCATATTTCGCTTTTTAGTTGAGTTTTTGTTAAACAGCCAACTACAAATAAATATTCTCAATTCATTTTAAATCTTACTCTTAACAGTATGAAGCTCAAAATCATTTGAAGAAAAAGACAGTTTAAGATTACTGTAGCTGGGTGTACAAAATCTGCATAATATATTTTTACTCGTGATTGTGACACTTCCTTTTTAAACCCCGACGAAAAAAGAGGGGTGTTATATGTTTGACGTGTCTTTGTGTGGCCTTGTAGCTCAAACGAATGGACAAATTTGGATGCGGATCTTTTCTTTGAAAGCTGACATGATCGAGATGGTTCTTGGCTATATTTTTTTATATCTGTTCAGGAGTTTGGAGATCATCATTTCCCATTTGAGAAAAGGGTCTTACAAATTTAACAGTTGCTATTAATTTGAAATTTAAGTACTTTTATTTTGGTGACATTTCTTAGACATTAAAATGATGGCGCAGCATCAAGTGCTCAACTCCTGAGATACTTACAGCAGATGTAGCGTGTCAGATAAATTTAAATGAAAATAAACTTTATTCAAGTGATAAATTATATTTATTATAACAATAGATACCTACATCGTAATGACAAAAACTTACAAATTACTTGATGAATAAAATTTTCTATCCTAATTACCTTAACCTACTTAACTACTTAAATAATTTATAATTACAAAATATAAACTATGTCTCCAATATTATTCAAGTTGAACTATTAAAAGCTCTTTTGAATCAACCTTAAAATTTTTTTGGACTTCCCTTAACTTTTTCGTATGGGAGATAAAAAAAACCGCACCACTTGGAGCTTCGGTTTGAAACGAGCGTCACGTACGGTAACCATGATAATGTTATTAAAAAAACGTTTCTATTACTTTGCACTGATAAAGTTATTGTAATTGTGTATGAAATAACGATACAATATTGTTAAATCTCGTTAATTTTCGTCGTATCGTTATCAGTCGCTGATTGAGAGTAGGTAAAGGAAAAACTCGTAGCACCCGCTACCTTTACCGCGCAAATTGGAAAAGTATATGAAAGGATAGGACAGGTCAGGTCATTATTAACTATGGACATTTACTGGCAAACTGTCGTGGCGTTGAGTTGTTAT